GCTGCGCTCTAATTTCGCATTACAGAAAATTGTAAACGTCTTTCAATTTTGAATTCCAAACATAATTTCGGCCCGTAATCCGATTGTGACGAATGGCTGTCCCAAGTGCTCCGCGGGAAGGTATAGGTGCTTCCGGTTTCGTTAGCCGCAGTCGCGCAGCTAATACGTCGTACATTAGACTGTCTGAAGACACTAGGGAGTTTTCGGGAACCGTTTTTGCACATCCCATATGGTACGACGCGCCCTCCGGTACGAAGAGCGCATATGCGAGTAGCGGATGCACAGTGCGTACTGGAGGGCCCATCGTACCGTATGGGGTGTGCAAAAACGGTTCCCGAAAACTCCCTAGTGTCTGAGGCGTGTGTTTTTTCTTGGATGACGGATCTTTCACGTTGGTCATGGAAAAACTACCTGCAGATACGTCGGCAGCGCATACATACATGTAGGAAGCGAACGTGCTTCGAAGATGCGTGAGGCACCTCTGCGTCCTAATATTCTGTATAGTCTGCCTTCAACGAGCGCCTTGCCCCTCAGCTGTAGATGTGAAATTTAGCCAGTGCAGTACAACCGCTAGCTTGGGGGTCTCTAACGTGCGTCGTGCAGTAGTGATACACGACCGGCACGCCAGTGTATACGATGCTCATCCAGATCGAAACGGGCACAAGTGGGGATCGAACCTAAGATCCTCGTGGGTTCTGCAGCGCGAGCTTTCGCTCCACGTGCTCTGAGCAAGGTGTGCGCAAAAAGTCCCTGAATCCTGGACAAGTAGCGCCATTGCTCTCCCCGCCAGCTAGCCGAACACAAACAAATACTTGCGTACAGACGACCCTAACCTCGCAAGGCGATTGGGTCTCCGTTACTATGGCAATCGCATATTTCGGCCCCTTCGAATCATCGAATTTTCGAGGGGGATCGTTCTAATCCAGTCGCACCAAAACCACCATGGAGCATCGTCGTACTGAAGGCACTCCTCGCCAAACATAAACGTCTTTGGCACTGCGTATGCCATCAACTTATCAATAATGCCAATCTCCACGGATCTCTTACAATTATAATGTTCTTCTCGCGTATTAATTTTTTTTTGCAATGCTTTTAAGCATTGTTACCACATGTGGTGGCGGTATGGTGGTGGTACGAAGATGCACGCTCGTTTCGCCGGTGAAAGGATAGTAAGATCTTGGTAGTATACAAGAAACGTGTCTGTACTCTGTAAAGCTACCCATCAGCGGCGAATTTAGATCGGCTCACCACGAATGGATAGGCCAAGGACACGGTGTAATATAATACTCTTCAGGTGAGGACAGCGCGCTCCTCGCGCATTGCAGATAAAGTTCGCTTTTCACTCTCTCTCACTATGGTTTCAAGTGGCGCCGGCAGATGACTCGTCGACCCGTGGGCATAGCAATGACGGCTCGTGCCGCCTCGTGCTCTACACGCGCAGAGCTCCATGCGAGGTTGTCGCAGAAAGACCACAGTGAACCGGGGTGTCATGGCAACGAGATAATTTTTTTCGCTCTCATAGAGTTTTGCCATTTGGCCGCCGGCGACACTGCCAGCCGCGGGCACGGTGGCCGCGGAATGATGCAGCCTTTCGGATGCCCGTCGAACGAACACTATCTGATTCCTCGCGCCGCGCGTTCAGCCCCGCCGTGTCCTCACCTAAAAAGTGTATCTTACACCGTGGTCAAGGACAAACGGCTCATTTCGTAAGCCAAAATGGCGACCGTACGGGGAGCTTGGCGCTACTTTCCCACGATCCAGTTACTTCAGTGCCCGCTAGCCCACTCGACCACCAATGCCCCTGTCAAAATGCGTGCACCGAAGGCCGTGTCTTTTGGCCGGTGTACGGCCAACGTGATTGCGACTTTAGGAAAGGTGATGCGTACTACTATAGTTTACCATACGCAGAAATACACCACGCAGTGTCTGCGGGATGTTTGAGGCGTGTATCTATACTGGAATGACGATCGTGTCACATTAATGATACAAAAGCCGTCTACGGACAGTTTGGAACGCTATGTAAAGCAAGCAAATATGCTTTGAATGCGCGCGAGGTGTCTGCAGATGAGTTTTCGTCAAGATGTGTGCAGCGTCTTTTTGTATGATGTATACGTGCAAACTGTCTGCGGCTTTAGAGTACACGTCTAAAGAAGGCTACTGCAGGTTACCAAAAAACCGGCGCACTGCTGAGACTTGACTCATTCAAGTCTGGTTTCCTCATTGAAAGTCGTTTAGTTGTAGTAGCGAGCTCATGCTGTCTCAGCGTTATGAAACTTTTACGACTTTGCTTCCATGGAGACTCTGCGTTCTTTATTCCCGTTTTTTTGGCGTGTCTACACACTGAAGGATTGAGAGGCTACACCTATAGATTTGACGCCAAGTCTTCTTGCATCTTGAATGGCGCCCAACGTTATATTTTCTTTTTTTTTTTTTGTCTCAATTATTCGAAAGGTAGGAACTGAGGGAAATTTCAAAAGTTGCTGAGAGTCCTCGTGAATGACTCTTCGGTCTCTGATCATGTTGAGGAATTTCGGAATGGCGGGGAGAGGAACGACGGCGACGATGCAATAGCTCATGTACAGGTGGAAACGCGTGCCGTCGTTGCGAACATAGTTGTTAATTCAGTTTTAATACCTCGGATATCTATAGGACACGTCATCATACAAAGGATGAGAGCTAATGAGAACTAATACGAGTAAACAAAATATATCATGCAATCAAGAAGAACACATCAAGAACAGTATATAAGAAGGAAGAAACGAAGACATTATCGACTCACTAACATTTGAGACTTGCGGCGTACGGGCTTTACAAATATTTACTTACTAATCCCCTATTTATGTTCACAATGCTAGTTGTAACCACGTAATAAGGCAAATCATTTCATTTTATTAGTAGAGAGTTTTCTTAGATCCTCTCCTCACTCCCTATTGCCAGATGTAGAAATACTTTGCCATGGAGCTGATGAATGTTTCGATGAACCCTTTGTTAAAACCGTTGTCTCATCTAAAAAAAAAAAGGAAGTAGGGAATACTAGTACTTTCGTAAGAGTGATGTTTTGATGATACATCTTTTGTAAAACTTTGTACGAGGTATTATTGTCTCTCACACTCTTCCAAGAGCAAGCAGTGCCACCATAGGGGGACTCTGCTGTGGCCATCTTCGCGGCTTCAAACTAACGTCGGTCTGCCGCGGTCTTTCGTAATGCCTTGCCGAGTTCAATCTGTGGCGGGCAGCGCCGGTTGCACTTGATGCTTCTAAGTTGCATCTTTCCGAGATCTTGATTGTGCTTCCCCGCTCGTGTCAGGTCGGAAAGACTGTTCTTCGTATCGCCCCGAGTCCAAGAATAGCTTCGACTCGACGTGCCGTGACGTGCCTTTTACCGGCGGGAACTGGCTGTCATGAACGGCGCTTCTGGTTGCAGCAGAGCCGGATTGACGTGGAGTATAGGCAGCTTTCGCTGCAGGCACAAAAAAGAAAAAAAAGAAGAAGAAGAAGAAGAAAAGCTTGTTTGGAACTTTTGCTACTGAATGGCGGTGTTAATCTCAAGTAATCCATACAGTGAAAGAATATTGCATTAATATAAAGGTTTTCGGGTAAAAGACAATAAAAAATAGCATCCACATCATCTCCGACTACCTCCGCGTAATAACATCTCGCAACGCTACTAATAAAAACACGTAAGGAAATAAGATGAATTGATGAGAACTAGTCTTTTAGCCTTAAGTATGTTTTAATAATTTGGTGAATTTTTGTAGGCGTTGAATGGTTACTTCCACCCAGGAGCTTAGTGTAAGTGACACAACAACTTTCCGCAAAGTTAGAAATAAGATTGTAAAAATAGAAAATAAAGTGATTAAAACGAGTGCTGTAGCTATTCTGACTAATTTTGTGCACCTTTGAAAAAGTTGAAGTAATGTTTTACAATACACTACAAGCATATTTAAAACATGAAGGATTTTACCAAAATATGTCACTTATAAAAAGTGCTTAAAAATGAATTTCTGTGCGTAGAGTTTTCAACCAAAAGGGCAGTAGGTTGAGCTAATTTGGTTAGGCTCTCACAAAATAAAAAAAAAATAAAAAAAAGCATGTAGATATTGAGATTAATAGCGAAACAGTGTATCACTTTCAGCTCAGGCTGCTGAGCACATCCGCCACCTACAAAGTAAAGCGAAGGGAAGGAGCGTTAATCATACGGAAGCCCTTAAACTATTTTTAGTATTATATTCGTAACTTCCCGCGTGAAAAACTTATAATGCTGGGTTGTTTTAGAGAGTACTGGTGTATTATAAGTGTATTTTATTTTCTGAACGAGTGACATCAAAAACCGTAAATGAATAGCTCTTTCCGAGCATTCGGGCTGTTCAGTAAACAAAGCATAAGGCTGATATTTGATACATCTCGAAATATAAAACTGTTTCAAGTCACTTGCTTTTAGTTGCACGGTTGTTCGATAAGTTGCTTTGCTCCGATACTAACGAGAATCCAGAAAACGCCTTCCACTAAAGTTCCTCCACATAAAAAGTACATACGGACGTGAAGTGGGAGAAATGAACAAAGAATTGCCTTGACATCTAGCATTAAAAATGGCGGGTACAAAAATAATATCTCAGAGTTAAATTCGAAACCAGACCGGAGTCACCTAAATTAAAATTTTGTTTTTACCACTTCTAGCACGGATACTCGGACCTCTGTTTCGGAACTTATAGAGGACTAGCGGAGGCGGTGGGAACAACATTGTTGTCTTCCAACATATCGACCATTAATGTCGACCAAGTCTCCGAGAAAGTCTTGGAAGAATTTTTTTTTTTCATATAATATATATATGTTTTTTTCTGTCTCTTTCCAAACTACCAATGTAAGCTCAAAAGCCGTTTCTCTCAGTTGAAAAATTACTCGAGAAACTCTGTCAGACCGACAAAGTAATCACTTATTTCTCAAAGTGTGTTTCTAAGTCAACAACTGTTTTCTTTGTTCCTTTTTTTTTAAATTTGCAGGCGAACAACAACATTTCACTGATCCGCCGCCCGAAATGACAGAGCCGTCTCCAGCAAGGAGCGGGGTGGCACCGTCTCCGAGCGGAGCTGGATAACCACCGACCTGATGATGGAGAACCGGACCTGCAACCCGGCATCCTTCAGCGACAGCATCGTCTGGGTCTCCAGCATCCAGTGCATCTGCGCCTTCATCGCTCTCGTCGGAAACTCCCTAGTCATCATATCCGTATGGAAGTTCGCGCGCCTCCGAACGGTCACCAACTACTTCGTGGTGAGCCTCGCGGCGGCAGACCTCCTCGTGGCCCTGAACGTTCCCTTCTACGACTCCTTCTACTTCTTGAGCGACATGGCGTGCCACAGAAACCTGTGCCTCCTCCGCTACCTCTTCGCCAACTACGCGTCATCGTGCTCCGCCTTCAGCCTCGTGGGTGTCGCCGTGGACCGCTACGTGTCCATCGTCCATGGCATGTCCTACTACCGGCTGATGCGCTACAGGCTGGCCGTGGGTTACATAGTGTCCATGTGGCTGTTCTTGCTCTTCTTCGCTCTGCTTCCTTGCATGGGTTTCGGGGCCAACGCCAATTATCCGTTCGAGTTCAAGGTTGTTGTGTGCGATCTCGCCTATGTGTACTCGCAGGAGTTCATCCTCATCTTGGGCGGAGTGTTCTGGTCCTGCACCCTGGTCACTCTTAGCCTGTACTTCTTCGTCTTTAGGGCCGCCTGGAAGCAGCTTAAGGCCATCGCGGCGGCTGGCGACGTGCATCATCGCGTCAGGCAGGAGGCGAGGACGGCGTGTACCATGGCCCTAGTGCTGACCGTCTGTATACTCGGATACGTGCCGTATTTTGTGATCGTGAGTCTGCCGTTCATGATGCAGGATAGCACCACGATCACGCTCGACGTGAAACCGTACGTGATCTGTCTCTACTTTGGCAAGTCGGCGCTAAACCCCGTCATTTACGGCTGGAAAGCGAAAGATTTTCGAGCCGCCTTTCGCGAAGTCATTTTTAGCAAGAAGTTGAATGATGCCTCTCACTCTTAGGTAACAGTGGTAATCACGCTTGCCGATACATGGGTTGCACTGACGTCGCATCAGCGGCCATTATGGTGACTTTGTACATTCTGCAGCAGGCATTTTGCGCAGTCGAATTTTTTTTTTCAAGGCAAAAACAAGTGGGAATGAGCACCAGCAGAATGCGATGACGTCAGGTGCACGCCTATGTAGGGAGTGTTCACTGGCGGCCATTGCTGTGTACGTGACAGTTGAGCTCTTGCTCATGGCGAGCTTGCACAGTTCTTTGGCAATGTGCATTCCACACCATCAAGGTTGACGGTATTCGCAGCCTATTAATTGGAGTTCGTTCTGAGAATGCGAGCTCTGAACAGCGGACTCAAACATGGTGGTCAAAACTCTAGTGCTTGCCTGATAAAGCCACGCGCTTCCACGTTAAACACTAGTATGATTACCACTGAGGGGAGGTGCGTAAAACTTAAGCGGAATAAATAAGCTTGTTTGGAACGAACACGCATCGGCTTAGGCGGAGGCGCGTTTGGGTCATTTATTTGAGAGTGCTGAACTTTCAGGTGTCGATCACGTGCACAGAGGACATGATAAGGAAGAATTAGGCAAACCATAAGCTGAAATTTATAAATTTCGCGAACGTTAGGCTGAGTTTAGTAATATAGGATCAACTCATCACACATCGTTTTCGTAAAGGTGCGTTTCCACCGCCAGAAATTTGGGAATAGATTTTAGCTTATTCTTTCCCGAAATGTGGGCATTTATGATTCATAGTACTTGTGACTGCAAACGTGTGTTGATGAAACGTCGCGAGTATGGAAACACAACCCGCGGAAGAGAAAAGCAGACGTACAGGAAGAGGCTTTCGTGTACACAAATATTTCACTTCCAAACTCAAATTAAAAGTTACGTTACGTTTTTTTTTTTCGTTTTGAAGGCTTTGCGCATGGTGTTTATAACATGCACGAACCGATAGTATCATATGTTTTGTTACTGCAATAAGAAATATGACAACTTTATTGATATCAATTTTTACCCTCAAACCAGTTTTTCTTTCTTTTTGGGGGAAAATTTATTTTGCCTGCTTTTAGCGATGAGAGGGAGAGAGATAGAAGTGTTGAAAAGAAAGGAAGTCTGGAATTTCTTTTAGCGATGAACCAATTATTAAGGTGCGTTATACGCCAACCTCTCTCCTGGTGATACTGCGCGCGCTGTAGGAGTGGCTGCTACTGCGTTCGTTCTACACTTGATTTGCCGTCGGATGTAGACTCCCTCAATGTTGTTTCGTGCTGTGAACGTAAAATGTTTACAAGAAATGTCTCTGTTTTTTCCCCGGGAATTCTAATGTCATTTAGCCTAATGTCCTTTCAGCAAGCGAAAAATGAGCTTTGAAGATGTGGGAGCTGGTTCACCGATTGCCTTTTTTGACATTTGCCCGACTGACGTTTTGAGAGGAGCGAAAGCGTGCCGGCGTGCTGGCTTATGCCGAAGTCCCCCTAGAGCGACACAGGAGAAACAACCGACACCCACAGGCCTCACGTCCGCGCAACAGCACGCACGGGAAGGTATCTTTGGCAGGCTTGCAATCACTCTTGCTTAGCTCACAAGCACCTTGAGACGGCAAGCCTGCCGAAGGTACCGTATAGCGTGTCCGCTGCGAGTGTTTGAGACTCGTCGGTGTCGGTTTGTTTCTGTTTGTAGCTCTAGTGGGACTCGGACATTAGGAAACACCATAATCTAAACATTGAGACAAGACGTAAGATAGCACAAAAGGCGGCGCAAAATATAAAACACAGCTGAGTTTATTCGCAGGGGAACAACGTTTCATAGCCGTCCATACAGACAGGAAAGAGGGTAGGAGAGCCGAACGATGCCCATCTTCCGTAATGCTGCCTGAAATGTCATTTGTCGCGCTCATGTTTCTTGGCATATCATTATGCATTTTGTTCCCACATTCATTGACATATACTCGTGTTTCTGTGTGTTCAGATTTGTGTTTTTGTTTGTTAAATTAACTTTTGACGTCTGTTGTTGAAGCCAATGTTTGGGCACACTACGAACGTCAAAGCCTGAGGCTTCGACATTGGGGTGTTTTGTTGCGAGCAGTCGAGTGTGTCCCTGTGCAAAATGTGAATTGTTTTGTCGTTAAAGATGGACTTGTACACCGAATACATATTTTTGAAACTATGGTGCTGCTAAATTGTATCACTTTTTGACAGACAGAATGATCCACAAGACGGGAGCTTCCCTGAACGACAACTGCGTACGAAATGTAAGTGCAAGTTTTTCTCCCGGACACATTGTGCCCGGGTGAACCGAAGGTTCCAGGGAAATAGCAAATTTTGTACGTATGAACAAAATGAAGGAATGAAGGTAAAGCGGAAGAGCAGAGTTAGTTCTCAGCGCTTCCGCTTTTGAATTGTTCTACTTCCTGCACGATCAGTATATATACCGCTTCTCACACTCCAACAGACTTTAAGAAAGTCGTGTTGAAATTACAACCGCTGAAGGTGGCACTTAGCTACCATTCGCGCCATCCAGTCTCCACATGTGTACAAAGTTTCTCCGCAGTAACACATCACATTCTGCGTTTCCACTGCCTTTATCACCCTCAAAAGGGAAACTTTTTTTCGTTGTAAAACAAGGACTGTTTTCACGCCGCCAAACGTCAAGCAACCGATGCCAAGCAGCGCACGTGAGCGTGGCCTTCGAAGGGAGAATGTTGCCTCGCGTTTACATCACAAACTGCGAGGGGGCGACGAAAGCGTCGGTCGTCTACAAGCGTCTGCTCCCCACCACGCGACAGCGCAATGCACGCGCACTTGCGAGCGATCTGCCCCAGGAGTCCGCCATTAAATTGCGAACACTCTCCACGCCTCCAGTTGCTTCCTCTCTGAAACGAAGGCTCTATAAGCGGAAATAACTGCGGGGAATTTTTTTCTACGACAACAGTTTTCCTTGCGAATGTAATAATACCTGTGCTGCTGGAATGTTTTGACAGCGAGATGGTAGTCTGCTTCGAGGGGCGCCGGCTCGGCTGTGCCGCCGGTGGATCTCAACGGGCGCCGGCAATCTTGGAACCGGAGGCTCTGGGCTGATTGACAGATGCGGAGGGCGTACCCGGATGAAGCGTCCCGTTCTAAATGGTCTGGAAGACGGAGGAGTGCACTTATCCCTTGAAAACATGAAAAAAAGGTGGCCAGTAAGGTGTTCGGCGCGATCATCAGTCCGCACTAGTGCGAGTGTATAATAAGACTCAAACAAATAAAGTGGGGTGTCTGAATGACTGTCTTTGTCAGCAACAATATTTTACAACTCACAAAAGTCTACAGTGCTGTTACGAGAGAAAATTGTAGGAGGGTGACCCGACGGGGAGAGCCAAACCTCGCGGGTTGTTTTGTCGGGAAAGCTACCGAAAGTCAGCGCCATAGAAAAAACAAGGACTGATCTCTTGAAGTTTGTTAGTGGTAACATACCTCACGAGCGCCAGTGCGCTGGCGTTTGCTACTTCCTACATGGAACATGCTGGCTACGCCTGCTCTTGGTCGGATCGGCTGGGGGGCTGCGCCTCGACTTTATTCCCAAGAGCCGCAAGATCCGGACGTTAGAGAGGCGGTGCCTTCATTTAAGGGCTCCGCCGACCAAAAGTAGGCAACAGCTCCTAGATAACGAAGCCTAAGTGCTGAATGTCCTTGCGTCACTAAAGAAGGCCACCGCAGGCCAAATATTAGAGCGACTTCGGCCTCAGCATTCGTCTAGGAGTCGTGCTGTCACTGATTGGACACGAGCTCCAGCCGAACGCTGACGCAATACTCGGGTCCAATCTCTGGCCTTCGGTGGTCTTCTTTAGGGACGCAGGAAAATTCAGCACTTAGGCTTTGTTATCTAGCAGGATTTGACATAGGTCATATTGGGGATAAAGGGTCATCGGGAGAGAAAGATAGCGGCTCTCGCGCCTCCTATACTCTGCTTCACGATAACTTCGCAAACTGTGGAGGCCACGGCCCTCGGGGCTCTATAAGAGCGTCGGAGCGAGGCACGTGACATGTCACGGGAGCGTGTGCGTCAAGGCGCTTAGGAACCGGCTGTCGTCTGCTGGCCAGGAGTCGTCTGCTGTGAAACCAACCGACTTCCGGATGAATGTTCACCGCCGCAGCATTACCGTCCTCTAGAGTAACGAGCTCTTCGGGAACAGTTCATGAGTCAAGTATGCGCTCAATTTACTCTCGTATCTGTGGCGGGTGCTAATTGCCTGGGCGACGTTTTCAGTGGAAGCGGTTGATTAGACGGCCGCGAACGCCAACCTCCACGGCGCTACAAGCGAAAAATACAGGGGGCAGATACGGTTGTGGATTCGCCTTTTTGGTTTATTTAATTGAAACTCATGAATTCGTCAATGTTTTATTTCTTATTTCTGATACATTATCGATATAGATGGAGTTGCGCGAGTTTATTTTGTATTAAAAGAAAAATAAACCTAGAACTACTTTGTGTTGCGGACGGCGCTGTCACTGACGAGGTAACGAGGCCTCCGTGGCGTCGACCCCCTTATCTTGGTTAAAAGTTCTAGTAGAGTGTAAATATTTGTCACCAGAATTAAATTTCGTTGCTATTTGAAAGGGTGTGGTCGTCCGTGTACGTCTTTAATGTTTTTATTCTTTCGTTTTTGAGTAATCTTACTTTACCTGTTCTTGTTTGTAGAAAACATCTTTGCATAGCACTTTGAGTATGTAAGATATTTTTATATTTTACTTTTATAAACTTGTCCCCCCCCCCCCCCCTTTTTTTTTCTTCTTTTTCTTCGTTTCTCGGTCGGGCCTGCTCTGTCTCCACTTTGCGGCGATTTGGCCCGCAGCAGCAAAAGGTGGCCCACGCCTGTGTTGGAGAAAAAACAAGAAGAAGCGCGCGGGACACGGGACGATGAGGGCAGACAAATAAAAGGGCTCGTGCGGAACGGTTCTCCCAGTTTTATCTTCAACATACTGATGCCGAAACCCGCGACAAGACCTGACTCCGTAACGTTCTACGATGGAAAGAGCCAAGAGAACCCGCGTCGTCGCTCCAGCAGTAGTCACCCGGACAATTTCGCAAATGGAGGAGATTCATATCAGCTCCGATCCAGCCAAAAACGAATAGACCTGTTGCTAAATTACCCAAGCACAGGGTGTAAGATACTCTCTTTAGGTGTCGACACGGCGGGGTTGAACGCGGGGCGCGAGGAATCAGATAGTGTTCGTTCGACGGGCATCCGAAAGGCAGCATTATTCCGCGGCCACCGTGCCCGCCGCTGACAGTGTCGCCGGCGGACAAACGGCGAAACTGTGTGAGAGCGAAAAACATTATCTCGTTGCCATGACACCCCGGTACACCGCAGTCTTTCTGCACGAGCGACAACCTCTCTGGAGCTCTGCGCGTGAGGAGCATGAGGCGGCACGAGCCGTCTTTGCAGTGCCCACGAGTCGACGAGTCATCTTCTGGCGCCGCTTGAAACCATAGTGAGAGAGAGAAAGAGAGAGAGTGAAAAGCGAACTTTATCTGCACTGCGCGAGGAGCGCGCTGTCCTCACCTGAAAAGTATTATCTTACACCGTGCCCAAGCATCAAGGAGAATGCAGGATTTGTGTTCCACGCGCCACACGTGCTGGCCTCAGCAGTAGAAACTTTGCTAAAGCAAATGCCTAAAACAAATTGCAACTTGCACGCGCGTTCGTCAACGCTTTATTTTAGTTATTTACTGCGAATTTTTTATACGGAGAAGGCGTGCGTGTGTGGGGCGCGTGGAGCACCAACCCCTGCATTCTCCTTGATGCTTGGGTAATAGACCGATCTCACCAGCCAGTTTGACTTACGCCACCGCTGCCGCAATGCATGGAGGGAACTTTAGCCTTTCTGCACGTGCGACAACCCCGCTGGAGCTCTGCGCGTGCGGAGCACGAGACGACTCGAGCTCTAGCATGCACTGACGTCTGCCTCCTGTGAACTAAAGTTATGGCGGGGGCACGAATGCGCCGAACGCCTAGTGAGATCGGTCTAGTGCAGAACCACGCAGATTATCTTGAACAAAGGCAAGCAAATTTGAAAGATCTAGATAGGAGAATCGCCGCTCTAATCGACGAGGAGGGACTCAAAAACGAAATCGCCAGTCAGATCGAGTACGAAATGGACGTCAGCATTATTATGTCAAGAACCCGTCGCCTTCTGAATGCGGAACCTACCACCCAAGCATGGACGTCCATTCGACGGCAACATCCTTGAACCGTAGCCCTACCAAAACTCTAAATACCAAGTTTCGAGGAAACCCTCAGAGATCGGCAGGGTTTCTGAAATCACTCCCACACGACAATACAAATCAACAAGGATCTGCCAAGAATCGAAAAGTTAAAGTATCTTCTATCATACCTCACCGGCCAAGCCAATCGCGCAGTTTAATGTATTCGGCTATCAAAGAACAATACGACACTGCAGTCGAGGTACTAACCGGGCGCTTCGGACAACACGATATTCTAGTAAATGACCATGTTGACCAGCTTCTGGCCTTACCAACCATCAAAAGTTCCGACAACGTTTCCCAGTTGCGGCAAATGTATGACAACGTGATCTTCCGAGTAAGCTCCTTTGAGAATTTATGAATCCTCCCGCTCAGTACGCGGTTGTACTCAACGAGTGCTCATGCGAGCTCTCCCACAAGATCTTGCCATTTTAAATAGGCAAAAGATGAAAGAATCGGGGCAAGGGAAATTGGGAATTCCTGATATGTACCACCTCACTACCTCAAGACCGGAGCATGCAAGTAACGACCATGATGAACTTTCTACGTATTCAGGTGGAAAGTCGAAAGGAATCTCACGGACCTCACACAACGACAAGCCTAAGGAACAACGCACCACCAGAACATGGGAACTACTAGTCAAATGAGCAACAAAGATTTCGATCAGCGTACATGCTACCAGCGGGGTCATCGTCAACATTTACTTCGTCGTGTCCATTCTACAGCATGACGGAACACGATCTGCAGGGTTGTCAAGCGATACTGGCAGCTGAAAACAAGCGCAATCGTCTCAAGATAGCAAGGCACTGTTTTCGCCGTGGCAAGATGACCCATCTCGCCAGGGAATGCCGCATGCCAAGAGATCTTGCCTGCGCTCGCTGCAATGGCCGCCACCTGACTATCTTTTGCGATGTCTGGCAG